TTGCCCAGTATCTGTTAAAATGCAATCTAAGTAACAAAGGGGAAAAATAAGGGGGTTCTCTTGAATGAAAACCTACACTAACAAACTGCAATGAGTAGCTCAGGGGTTATTCAGACTGTCTTCTTAATTAAATACTTAATAATACAGCAAGTAAAATGAAGGCATTGAAGAAAATTGCATCCTTTAAACAAATATGAGCCAATATTACAAACTTGCATTTACGATTCGTTTCAATTTCATAGTTTGGAAAATCTGTTATGTTACAGATCTTTACAAACTAATTTTAATGAATTCTGACTCAAAATTAAAAGTTGTCAGATTAAATATACTCGTATGTTGCTATTCATCTCTATTCAATATTTAGCTGTAATACGAAATTAAAACTAGATATAGAGAATGATATTTTAGAATCAATCCCGTGGTATTCGACTTTTACGTAGTTTTTATGAAAAATAACGATTGTGAAATTAGTAAATTTATCGGAAATAATACAAGAGTGAACCACATATCTTTGACTATTATTGACTGTCATACGTTAAGGTTATTTTAGAGATAGAGAACTGCTTCTGAATCGAGCACATTGTCTCCAATTTCTAGATAGATGCTGTGAAAAATAGCGAGTGTGAAATTAGCAAAGTTGTCGGCAATAACACAAGAGTACGCAACACATCTCCCGAATATTAAAAGGCGAATTAGAGTGGTCACGCTGCTATGTGTTCATAAATGTTCTTATTAGGGCTCAACTTGTTAGGTATAACGCTTAGGCTTACGTGACTTCAGTCCGTTTTGCAGTAGGCATTTTCTGACAATACATCCCATGTTGCATGTTAATGTCACGAAGATACATCGAGCGATACGTAGCGTCTTCGGTTCTTTACTTAAAATTCAGAATGTTTGTTGTAATTGTCATATAAATTATATTTCAACGTACTGTTCACAATTCTAAAATTAATACTTTGCCTAGCTTTTTAGACATAAGTGCAATAAAGTATTATATAAGTTTTGTTTACTGTATGTTTTTATGTTATAATTATATAATATAAATATTATAATATAAAAACACACAGTAAATTAAACAATTTATATTTATTGAAACTTTTTGACTAATAAAAAGTAGTACAAAAGGCAGGCTTAATGCTAATTGCATTCTATACCAGCCAACCTGTTAAAAGTATAGAGTTACTCGAAATAGGTTTAGTGTAGAAAAAAATTTAACATATATTAATAAACATAAACATTTAAACTAATATCCTACATATAATTCATATATATACACATTGAATTCCAAGTTTATCCTTTGAAAAGTTATCTCAGCACATGCGATCAAATATTTAAATCGAACAAAACCATAATCTAAAGGTAATCGCACACAAGCATTAACTCAAAAGACACCTCTGAGGTTCGACATTGATCACTGAGCCGAACTTCGGTTTTGCCGTAACGTCGCCCTAGGGAGTGGCCCCGAATCGCGGCACCCCTGTCCTTGTCCCACGCACCCGGTTACAAATAGGAAAGAAGGTAATGACGCGATATAGGCCTCACAAATTGACCGTAACAATACCGCATTAGGTCACAATCTATGTCGTAGGATACGTCATAATCTATTTTTTCGGTAGAATCCTCAGTGATTCGGCCAGGCATTGGGCGATGGCTTATTTGATAAAAATATATGTATTTTGGTGGCTGCCTCTCTGAACTGAATCCTAATAACTAAACTAATATAGAAAACGTAAAAATTGGATATGATGTTGGTTTCAATAACATACAAACTTCTCTACTGTATAACTTTTACATTTATATTATTAAGTATTGAATAATAAACAAAATCATCCTCTGTATGGAATGTATTCTGTTTTTTTTTTAATATTCCAAAAAAAGTTCTCATTTCGTCTGTTTAATTGTGTATGTTTAATTTTGATAATTAATTTTTAATTGATAAACTTTATAAAATGGAACTTTACTAATGTGGAAATGATGTTCTCGTTTTTATATATTTGGATATTTGTTACTTAATCCTTAGAATGTTGAATAGATGTTTGTACATGAGTAAATTATATCCTAACTTAATGCATAGGATAGTTTTTTGGCTTACGCAGGTAAAGTCGACAAATTATGTCAGTAAAATTTAGTGTTACAATTAAATTCGCTGTTAAATGGTTCTGTAAAACAAATTCTAAACTCATTTACCTGTACGACTGTTTAAATTATAAAAAACCTTTTTTTATAAAACTTTCATTAAATAGTACATACGAAACTACTACACAAAATTTCATAGTTTGTCAATTTCTTCTATTACAATGATGTCCAGACTTTATAGATGGATATTCTTCTCCGTATCTAATACTATTTGTATGATAAATTTTATAATGATGTGTAATAAAAACAATGATTATTGAAAAATGCTTTTAGTTAAGTGTAGTTGAATACTATTATAATTATTCAAAGAGCTGTAAAATCATCTACAAACTAGAATCTCAGAATCTCACTTTCACAAATATATATTTTTATACCGCTGAAATGGCAAACAAGCATACGACCCACCTGATGGCAAGCGATTATTGTAGCCTACGAATACTAGAGACATTACGCATTGATTGCCGACCTCTTTACACCTTTTTTGAAGAGCTCCAAGTTGTAGTCTCTTGGGAACACCTCAATAATATATAGATAGAAATTTATATAGAATTTCTAATATACGAGTATATATACAAAATATTTCCATTTAATGATATTACTGCTATTGAATATCACTATGTTAAGCCACCACTGTTAATTAGCCACCAATACCGCCAAATACGAGTTGAGGTAAACCCAATACCACGAAACGGGACAAGTTATCCTATCCAAATAAACAAACAATATTTGCATAGGTATGTATTGATATGTATTGGTATATTTTAAGTTCTTGTATATATAATTCTAAGAAATTATTAATTTAAATTGATTTAATTTGGTACACGTTAGTTTTAATGATAAAAATTTGATAATTGCCATACTAGAGAAGATTGCATTTATTTTTTAAATCCTTTTTCTGTATAACAGCCAAAAATTTATTTTAAGCTTTTGTATCTTAATAATGGAGTAAATACCGTTATTGAAAATATCGCGTAACATACAAAAAATGTCTTTGTAAGAGTATCATCTTTATTAAATAACATTAATTTTTTTTTATACCTCAGTGGTATAAAAAAAATGTTCATATCCATAGGCGACATTTACCACTTTCCATCAACTGGGCCATTAGCTTGCTTGCCATTCAAAATTATATAAAAAAATAGGTTGAGCTAAATCGAAATAATGAAAATAGGTTAATAAAAACAATAAATAAAATATCATGGTCTTTCAAACATATGTACATATTTAATAATATTGGAAATTTTGAGTACCGCCTCTTAATCGAATTTAACAAGGTTCCTCCTGTCGGCATAGAATATTTAAATACGGCATCGAAATAGAAGCAAAGAAAACACCGAGTAAACATTTCAAAAGTATAAAAAAAAAATTATTAAATATTTTTCATATAAACTCATATTTGTTTAACAAAATATTTAGAACTTAGATGTTACAAATATATTCTTTTAAGATAAATACTCTTATATATATAATTTTTTTTGTATTGTAATAATAACCAGTACCAAACCTACTTATTATTCTCTGTCATATCCGGTTTTAACAATCCTCATTAATGCGCTAACTATTGTCCTGTTTGAAATTATGCACATAACCGGACCGGATCTGCATAGTATGTACATTATTGTGTTATAAATGGTTGTAGTACACACTGATGTATATCCGGGTATGAATCCATTGAAACCTTTAAAGATATGTTATGTCTATTCAATAAACTTTATTGTACATATTCATTATTACTATATTAAATCATTTATATCTATTTATATCTTAAATAAATTTGGTAATTGGTAAATTTATAGGTCAACAAAATTTGATTTAACACTGAAATTATTATGTCAGGATATTTTTTTTTTTTTACTTATACATAGAAAACAAATAAGGCATTAATATTATATAGAAGAACCTACACAAGGTTTATAGAGAACGAACCCTTAAATTGAACTCAATATTCGTTTTAAGAAATAAATAGAACGTCTTCCTTTCCAACGCAAGATGTAAAATAAATCACACGCTTTCGATCCTGAATTACGGCTAATTTTTTATTCACCACAAAAGGGGAATTGTTCAGTTCACGCATGCTCAACAAAAGCGTAGCAATTCCCGCTTAAACAAATCACCACTAAACAAACGTTTCTACAGGTAGGAATAATTCAGCGAAAGGTCACCTGTTACGGGTATTCGACATCGATCATCGGGAGTGCGCTATGTAGACCTTCTCGTGTAATGTCGCCCTGGGGAGCGGCCGACGCCGGCGTCGAGACAAAGCTCCCGAGCCCCCGCCTGCCAAACTCAACTTGCCCGCTTTTGTACACACGCACATTTTTCACCGTAGGTCATTCCGTTATTCGCTCTGTTTACCCCTCGCAATGCCGCGATACGACATATCTAACACATCTGAAAAGTTAATAAGGAATTTATAATTAACCCGTACGTATTCGCATGCGGAGGCGTGACGCGTTGCCGTCAACATGAATATTTACAATGCAATTTCGTTCCATTTCAGATTTATCACTGGCTTGCGTTAACGGGGAGTTTTAAAAATATTCCTTCGTGGCCAAATTTAGGTTCGCGGGCAAGAGTTAGCGAGCGATGACAGCACATCTGCTGGCTCGTATTGTTCGTGTCCTAACCGCCGACTTTCCATTTATTTCTCTATGAATACGTTATTACCTGCTCGCCCCCGCTTATCAAAGTTTATTTGCAGCGTGTGGTTTACTCTGTACCAGTGCTTATTCGTTATTACAGCGGCGGAGTGTTTTATTGCCGGGGCGGGGCTCAAATCGCGCACGACGCCCTTGTTTTTCGCTATTTTTCCTCGCGATCTTTGAGGATTTGAAGTTTATTTTATGTCTTTTCTCTTGTTGCAGATTGAGGACGCCATGTTAATGTTCGACAAACAAACCAATAGGCACAGAGGTAAGTGATAATTTATATCTACAATTCTTATATTATCTACTACGAAATAGAGTTTCTATAGATGAGAATTCCATTTAACGTAATATTTTTTTGGTAAAATATATTAAATGAGAAAAAATGTTTGCAAAACATTTCTCTTTATTTAAATGTTAAATTTAATAATTCATTGACTTATTTTGTTAATATACCAAACGCTTGCGTGTTATTACTACTTACTTGTGGGTAATTATTTGACTTAAAGAAAATAATTGGCAATTGTACTCACGTAACTAAACTTTAAGGTAATAGATCCGTTCTAAAAAATAAAGCTTTTTATTTTTTCTAAAGGTAAATTTATATTGGCAATGAACTATACGTTCTTTATAACTACATATATATATATATATATATTGGTCACGAATGTAAAGGCACTCAAACCATTAGTCGTTCTGTATTAACAACAATCCACCCATAGCAACCAATAAATATCCTACTACTGGGCACGAATTTCTCCCAAAGAGAGGAGGATATTAGCCTACTATTACCTCGCTGATGGAGCGGCTTGATACGGGGTTTTATTACGAGTTTTCCTTTTCTTGCATTGATATATTGCACTTTGTTCCTTTATTCGTCTCTTACAACATCTCGGGAATTAAAAAGAGTGGCAGCATATTGTATTCTTACTCTGTTACGACACGGATTATATAAATGTATACTCGTAATTGCATTTCCTAAAAAAAAGATAATCTATAAATTGCCTACTTATACATAACAATAACTAATAATGAAATAATCATAATAAATATTTTTTATAGTACTTACTGAGGTGGCAAACAAGTATACGGTCTACCTGATGGTAAGCGATTGCCTGAGGCTACGAACTCCTGCAAAACCAATAGAATTACGCGCTGTAGACATAATTTGCTAAAATGTGTTTAATCGATATTCACCTTTTGCCTTTGCTCTACTCTACAAAAATATTAGTTCGAATTCTAAAGGAATGTTTGTTCTATTTCGAACAATGTATAGAATATAAATGCTTATAGGGCAATAACGTATATTACTGATCATAAATTAAAGGGCACGCACGAGCAGAGGCGTGTCACCTTGTTTTTCCCAACAAATACAATAGAACATCCAAAGGCTTGCATGTCACACACGGAAACATATCATTTTTGTTCGCGTCTCGCCTCATTTCTCTAGGCGTCTTCGCCGCAAAATCGTAGCCATTTAACGAGCACCAGATAAATACGACTCTCGATAAAATGCGGCCAGCTAAGACAGATCTGTCGCAGTTTACACGCCTTGATTCATATCATAAATTCGTATAAGACGGGAGAAAGTCACGGGAGTTCTAGTTAGAGTGGTAAAACGCTTGGCTCATGCGAGCCGAAGCGAAACGGAGGTTCAAGGTGGCATCGAAACTAAATAGGTTCACCGTTTTCGGTTCGGTATTGTGCTTCCCTCCCTCGTGATACGACTATTCCCGACTAATAAATAACAAATCGACACCCAGATAAAATATATGGTTTCCTAGTACAGATTTTGTATTACAGCGAGGGTAAAAGGGACCGCTTGAGGGTTGTTCTATTTTCAATTTCCACTCTCCTCTTATTTTTATTAATAATTTATTTTAAAAGTTTAGTGAAATGATACAAATAAATTTCATCCCAAAACTGTAATGACCAGAGGCTTATGTAATCAGTTTCTTTCATTATCCCCGCAACGCGTAAGATTTTAATTAAAATCCACGAAAATCGTATCAAGGCAAGCCATCTTTTGTTGCCAACGAAGGTTCCCTTGCAGCAGTTACAACAAATACAATGTTAAATTTGCTTTTGTAATCCCCATTACACAAAAACAGGTTGACCCAAATATTCAGCCTCGGTGAAATATCGTTGCGCCGTCATTTATGCAAGTTCGCAAAAACGAATCCTGTTTCAATGAGGGCCGAGCGAAAAACGTTCCTTTTCTTGTTGGCATAAGACATAGAATCACTTACGCTAGCAGTTTACCGGCCCCAACGACTGTGCCCTTTACGTGTCATTTGATTGATATTTTGAGAACCCTCTGTTTTTTAATTATTTGAAACGTACTTATTAAGGTATAGTACGTAAGTCTCTTTATACATATATTTAAAGACTGTTCGTATCTTGTAGATAATGTACACAATAATGACACAACAAAATTTTAATCTCTAAAATGGATAAAGAAACTAATTCCAAAAAAAAACACAAATTACATTAATCTCTCAAAATAAGATTCGATATGATTCAAGCAATATGTAAACGTATAAGTTCGTAAGGAATAATCTTATATAAATATTCCTTAGGCCGCCCCTAATACCACTGGCGGGTTATTATCCCCACAACGTAATCAGTTGGGTCGGGTTATCCTTGCAAGAAATGTAAAAATATCTGCTGTTTATTTGTATCAAACTCGGAGAAGAGGCAACCCAAACGCGTATTCAAACTGAATATGAATGCAAACTGCCCCTGCGAACGGCCGGAATGGCGAAAATCAAATTAGGTATGGCTTGAATACTTCACGGCGACGTCGGGAAAAAAATTGAAATCAAATATTCATTGACTTTCAACCGGATAAGCCGACCCACAGCCATTTCAATACATTTTATTATCTATTTTTCGCTGCGAGGACCGGCCTCCGTCTCTACAAAACGCTGTATTCTCATCATCTAAATTATTAACGAAAATTTTATCAATAGCAACACTGTTAATAAATTGAAATTTTTCCAGATTTAATAGTACAATGTTTACAGAGGGAAAAATAATTATCAAAGAATTGATGCGTACTAGGAACGTTTACGAACAAATCTTTAAATAGCAAAAAACAAAGTACTTGTCCTCATCTGTTCTCCGCTTACTTTTTTAAACCATACAACGGATTTTGACAGGCATTTCACTGAAAACTGGATATTTTTTACGGCAGATTTGTATATATCTTAATTAAAAATTTTTATAAGTAGATAATTACACCAGTGTAAAGCCAGGGTGGGTCCCTAGTTATAATAAAAAAAATAGTAGGTATTTGATTTAAATGAATGATTTTAATTTATTAACAGTATCTTCTAAATAAAAATTAAATGTAAAATTTTTGGTAAGAACATTATTTAAGAACGGCTGGATCGACACTGCCATTTTTTTAAAGATTAATTTAGGATTTTAGACGAAGAAAAAAATTAAATTTGAATTGAAAAACGTCCGTTTGATTAGCTACTTATTGAATGAAATAATCATGGGATATACGAAATGTTTTATTGTTTATGTACATATATCTATGGTTCATATGACAGTGATATTTTTTATGGAAATTATCAATGAAGATAGATAATAAATAATATATAAGAAATATTTTTAATAATAAAAAACCTTTCTCATAATGGATATGTTAAGCGAATAAATCACATGTTGAATAGGGACTTAATTCAAATGGCGATTTCTGTGTAAAGCTGTTGAATCTGTAAAAAATAAAAACCTTTTAGCCTTTTCAGTACATTAAATATGCGGGAATAATGCGTTTAATAGCACCCTTTACTTTATTTACGACCTATCCTGCTGCAAAAAAAAATAATTAACGATGACCCCTTACAAAATTTCTATTGTCTTTTTTTAATAACTTTATTTTAGGCCAATAAAACTCCTATATCGCATTTAAGAGATAAAATTTATCATAAGCATTAAAAATAAATACAAAACACAAACATTGAAAAGAATAAAAGCTGTGATTTAATAATTCAATATACATATTTCTATAAGGAAACTCGATGTGTGATCAGAATGCGACATAACTAACATATTTATTATTCTCCCCGACACATCTCCAGAAAAGTAGTGAACACTGATCAACAAGCCGTTTCCAAGGGTTTGTTGGGGTTCGTTTGCCATTCAAAGTGTCAACGGAGCTTGAAGAAAATGCCATTATACAAAGGTAAGACTGGTAAGACACGAGACGTAAGAGGCAAAGTTCATAAATATTAAACAAAAAAACTAGCGCAACCAATCTCAGCGGAGCGTATTCTGTTCGGTACTAGTAGCCTACCTTCCGCGCCTATGGGACACATTTCTAAGAATGCGTGCTTGCTACCGTGAAAATTTCACCTCTCACTTTGCATAAGAGTAGTGCTATCTATATTTCATTTGACGCCGTGCGTGATATGTAAAGACACCTATCGCGTGAATCATAAATGGCGATCGTTTTCTTCGAGTGGCATAAAATTTCTGTGAATCAAAAGAAGCGAGCAATAGGGTACTATATAACTGTATTTAAACTTTATACCTTTCCTACCATTAAATTTTCTACGCAACCTTTTTGTTTATTCACAAATTTTCCTATATAAAAGGCTCGTCGAATAATGCAAATTACGTATCAATTTTAGTTATTTTTATTATTTACTCGTACGCAAACTGTATTTACTTCAAAGTGAAAAGGAGTTTATTATACAGACAGATACAGAAAGATATTGATTTCTTTTTATCCCGGTCAGTAAACATCCCGGTCATGCTGACGAAGTCGCAGGTAAAAGCTAGTTATTTTAATTATAATATGACAACTTATTAAATAATATAATTTTAATTTTATACAATAAAAATTAATCATATAACAATTCAAATATTTAAAATATCGTTCAGTTCGATTGGCAAAACAATTTACTATTTTTGTACATATCGAAGCATTCTAATGTTGTAAGGCTACTAAAGTAGTGCTTTCAGACTGTGTAAACCGCGCAATGTTATTCCCAAGTCAGCAAAATGTAAAATGATCTTTATTACCACTTCGTAAGGTCGATGTTCAGTTTCGTTATTGTATTTACCTAGCGCTAAGTGGAAGCACGTGGCTGGCTCCCGAGGGAGAAACGGGAATACACAGAGTTTAGATGCATCTTGCGGGTTACCAACAGCCCTTGTTAATATCATGTATTACAATTAATTGAATTCAAACAATGACTTTTCCAAGTTACAGTAGAATATTATGAAAATGTTCAGATTATTTTTGTAACCGAC